CATGGAGGCCAAGAACTCCCGAGCCGTCGCCGACGTTTCGCCCGCCGATGGCAGATTGAAATCCCCCATAACTATAAGTCTGGGGGTCTCAACCGCCACCCCGGCTATTACGTCGGCCAGCTCAGGCAGGGCCGTTGATACATAGCAGGGAGCCAGGTATATAATCAACAAGTACTTCTACCCCCTATGTTGGTGACTGAATTTAAAAAAAATGTGTAATTTATCCTTTTTTGGAAAGGCTATTTTTATTACTAATCAAATAATGAAAAATATTTTAGCATTTCATAATTTAGAAGAATTGACAACATTTTATGTACAATTTGATACTTTGTTGGTAAATAAATTACCATTTTATATGTTTAGGTGCTTTTTAGATTTTTTTCTGTTTATTTGGTACTTCTGTTTTTTATTTTGGTATAGTTTTTGTATATTGTTTTATCTGCATTTTTTAAAAAAATATTGCAGTAAAATAAAATAAGTCTTAGTGTTTTTTTTACATGTATGCATGTATGCACAAGATAATTTTAATATATGTCTTCCAGTTTTTGCCTGCAAGGGGATACAAAACTTAAATCCTTCCTTGCACTCGTAGACTTCTGTTAGTGCAGTGGGCTCTTTATTTAGGTCCTTTTCAGTCTCAGCAACCTCAAAATCTTTTGCATAAGGTTGAGGGACCTCTGGAGTAATCTGGAAGTGGCGTGTTCCCCCTTTCTGCTGTGTATTGGAAATATTTCTGGTGGTGGAAGTGTACCACTGGATTCAGTTCCAAGTATCTTTTTTCCACATTGTTACACCCATGCATATATGTGTATGTGTGTATGCATGTATGCGTACTAAGCAGCTGTAAAATTTTCTGAACAGGATGTGATGGTAGCTGGTGGGATGGAAAGCATGTCAAATGTCCCCTACACAATGACCAGAGGAACAACCCCTTATGGAGGAGTAAAGCTTGAAGATTTGATTGTCAAAGATGGCTTGACAGATGTTTACAACAAGATCCACATGGTAAGCACTAACGTCTTGCGACTATATTTCATTTTAAACTATTAAATACTTTTGAATCTTTTTTTGAATAAAAACAAGTCACTATACTTTATTTGCAGGTAGTTTTTTCCAATCCTGCTGGCCCAGAGTATGGCTGGGCAGAACTGCATCTTGTAGAATGGTACCTTGCCCAGAAAGGAACATGCACTATAAAAGTGAATTATATGAAGCATGGGATATATAAATGATCTGTACACTTTACAAAGTGTATCTTATCTTTCCTAATTTTTTCATTGTCCCCAGGGTAGTTGTGCTGAGAATACTGCTAAGAAATTTTCTATATCACGGGAAGATCAAGATACTTACGCTATAAAGTCCTATACCCAAAGCAAGGAAGGTTGGAATTCTGGCATATTTGCAAAGGAAATTGTGCCTGTCACTATTTCTCAGAAAGGTAGTATGGATTAATATACAATACCTTCTCCACACGTGGCATGCTTCATTTTCCGAATGTGAAATCCAATATAGTAGAGGTAGAATGGATAAAAGGACTTTAATTGTTTTTAACGGCTTTTAAAATTATCTTCAATGCAGTTAATTGACTTATTTGACTGATCTCCAGCATTAATAAATATTTGAAGAATTATAAGTAAAACATAATTTAAATCAGAATTTTCTATTGATGATTTCAGTGCCTTGACTTAAATCAATCCACTCATACGCTAGCTAGACTAGAGCAATGGAACATGAGATGGAAAGTGCAAGAAATGAGATGACGCAAAAGATCCTTCTATGTTCAGCTGTCCTTTGGAAAAATAAGAAAATTTTAAAACCCAGCAGGTCACTGACAGCACTTTGCAGTGCTGGATTGGACTTTGAGGTCAAAATTTCAAATCTTTTTTTTACTAATCAGAATCTTACTTTAGGGAAACCAGACGCAGAGGTTAAAGAAGATGAGGAATATAAGCGTGTTGACTTTAGTAAAGTTCCAAAATTGAAGGCGGTTTTCCAAAAAGAAAATGGTAAGTTTTGATATCCATTTTTAATGTGCTAAAATTTATTTCAGATTTGATTATTTGCATTTTAATTTTATATACCTGCATTTCTGATTGATTAATTATGTGCCGTCAGATCATTTTCAATTCAAAGTGAGCATGGAGATCGGGGTGGGCAATTAATTTTCCCAAGGGGCCACAGGAGAGACTGGAATTGTTGGAGGGCTACTGCCCTGCCCTTTGCC